ATCAGAAGGGCTTGGATTGTGTACTAGGGAGAGAGAAGAAGGGAGGTCCTTGAATCTCAAAGCCTGACCACTTCTGTACATCCAAAACAGGACAAACTAGAATACTTAGATAAACAGAAGTGGAGAGAAGAAAAAAATGCAGATAAGGAACCACAAATATGCACACATTTTCTCTTATTTCCAAGGAAACGTTGGGAGAAATATTTCCTGACTTTAATGCACTTTCTTAGATGGAGTTTGGGGGCTTCTCTGTTTCCAGGACTCTGTGTCAAAGGACATGTTCCTGTAGACCAGTGCATTTGAATGACTGAAGCTCCTCTCTGAGGAATTTTTAGTTTTGAATCTTTAAACTAATGGCAAGTGAGTAACTGTGAGGGCATGTTGACATTTATTCATTTCTTTTGCTCGTTCCACTTGGAATAGCTATGCTGGACAGCAGGTGGTGAAGGTCTGGTGTTTATGAGAGAGAGCATCGCGATTCATTATTCATTCACTTGCTATCTTGAACTGTGAAGTCAGTGAAACTTCAGGACACATTTATTTTACAGGGTATCATGAGCAAGAAAAAATCCACAGGGTGGCCTGATCACCTAGACAATTAGGTCTGGATAGGCCAATTATTAAACCGGTACATTCTTCATATTAGCAAATCATTGTTTTCCTTGTCTTTCTGACATTTTGTAAACTATGTATTTGAGATAACTCAGCTGTTCTCTGCATGGCTCCAATGACTTTGAGTATCAGGAAGCGTAGATATCAAGTAGAAATTTTTTTCTTCCTATTTATTTTGCACAAGGAGTCTCTCGAGTACTAAGGAGAAACTCATCACCATCCCCAGGTATGCAGAGAAGTTTGTGAAATTTTCCTTTTTAAAAAAAAATGCTCATTAAGTCCATTCAGTGTTGACCATATGCACAAGTGTGGGGTCGCCTACTGTGTTGTGGGTAACCTGCCAGCAGGTTGTCTGTCCAAAACAATGCTTCTCCTTCCTCTAGCACCTGTGGGTTTCCAATACTTCCCACTAAATGGAGAAAAAGTCTGAGCACCCCGATTAACACCAGAAGAAGACCAGTGCCCACTCTTCCTCTTTCTCACTTGAGTGGTGCCCAGAGTCTTAGCCAGAGCAGCAAAATAAGAGAAACTGAAATGGCTGCCTCCCTCTGACTTCCAGTTCTTGGATCCAAGGTGTGGACCACCACACTGCTGTGAACACTAATTTTTAAATGGAAATACTGATTTAAAATTCTGTGCAAGTCAAACAATCAGAATGGGGAAAAAATGCTGATCATGAAGGATTGGGAATTGTTTTGGGAAATATGGCTTACTTAGATCATTTCCCTTCCTTATCCCCTTTCTCTGTTCCTTTTCCCCTCCCTTCTCTCCCTCCCTATCTCCTTCCTTCCTCCCTCCCTTCCTGTGTCATTTCCAAGTACTGCATTGTATATGTATCCTTTTTATTATCTGGGAATTTCTCACTCAGAACTAGTTCCAGAGTTTTGTTTGTTTATTTATTCATTCTGGACGTGTAGAAAGGTTCTTCTCCTTGAGCTTCTAAGCCTCCAAACTCATTTAGTTCTGATACTTTGTTTTTGTTTTGTTTTTTATTTTTGTTGTTATTTTCCGCATATTCTAGAGACTGGGTTTAGTAGTCTGAACTTAAACACATACATAACCCATCTCTGCTGGTTTATGAAATATATTCCTACTCAGCAAAAAAGATCCATGCATGCATGTACACACACACACACACACACACACACACACACACACACACACACTGCCCTTAATGCCTTTCTCCCCTGAGTGGCTTCACCCCTCAGCCATTCCCATCCATCATTTGCAATGATTCCATCCACATTTTGTATATAGATTATAAAGTTGTAAAATTATTCTTTTCCAGGGAGATTTTTTTTTCCAAAGCTTCCCCCCTGTGACCTATAGATAATGAATAATTCCCTTAGGAAAGTCATGGCTGGTCTAACTTTTATGCAGAATTTGTCAGGCTCAGTATTCTTTGGCATTACTCTCATGGAAGCCATGAGCTGAGAAAGATAGGGCACTTAATCTGATGACAGTGCAAGCTGCCCCCACACCCCCCCCAGTCACCCAGTTGTTTCCTTTGGGTTCTAAGAAATTATTGTGTGGCAAAATAATAGAGACTTGCCTTATTTTGGATATGTCTGTGTATGGGTATGTGTATGTGAATGCAGCTGCCCATGGAGGCCAGAGGTGTCAGATCTTCTAGAGCTGGAGATACAGATGTCATTGAGAGCCCTTGATGTGGGCGATGGGAAATCTGATCAACTGTAAGATCAATATGCACTCTTAGCTGCTGAGCCATCTCTTCAGCCCCTCTGTACTAGTTTTAGAGGATGCTCTCTCTGTGCTCAAGTGCGTTTTGAAAATATTGTGTTGAACAGGTTCTGATAACGTGGGACTCTTCAGAGCATTTCAGATAATTTGCTCTGTGGCAGGCAGCATTTTGAAAACACTTTCAGCCATGTAACCTTGTTTTTGCATTGGGAGATTGTGTCTCTAAGGCAAGTGTCCCCTAGGAAATACTTTAGGACTCAGTGTTCAAATGCAACACAACTCATCCTTGTGCTAAGAAGGCACCAAACAGTTTTTCCAGAAGTTCACATTTTTCCTCAGCACAGTTCCATAAAACTGGCATTTCTTTAGGTTTTTAATGAGAAGGAAAAGATAAAAATCTATTATTGGCTGAGAACAAATAATTTGATGGTAGTGTGTTTGGATGTTACTTTCTGTAATGTAGGTCATTAAAGTTGATCACTAATCTTATAAAGAAGGTAGTCTAATTCTATTTTGACAAGGTATACATTTTATTGGAATGTCAGGGTCTCTAGCCTCCTTATTACATATTTTATGCTGTAACAGAAAGTTATAGAGAATAAGGGAAGGGGGGATAGGAGTGGAAGAGAAGGGGAGGGAGGGAATTGGAGGGAGAGAGAGAGAGAGAGAGAGAGAGAGAGAGAGAGAGAGAGAGAGAGAGAGATTTGAGTGTGGACACAGGACTAGTATGCAGACTCAGGGCAAGATGGAGCAGAAACACCTGCCTGCACTGTCAAGTTTCCTCCTGGAACCTTCCATTGTAAAGGTGAACTGTAAAGAGTCATAAACTCTACCAGGGATTCTGCATGACTTCTGTCAACAACTTGGCACATTATGCCAAATATTGTGTGACATGGTGGGCAGATTCCAATGAGCGTATTTGGGAGTTATAAACATTTCTTTCCTATCACTCTCAGATGCTAGAAGAGAATGTAGACATAAAGGGCACTTTGCCAAAGGCAGAATGTCTGTCTCCTATTTATAGACTTGAGGTATTTACATTATGAGTGAAAGAGGGAGCTTTGACCAATGAGCAATTTTCTAGAATATCCAGGATTCCTGTAGATGTGAAGTCTGGCCTGTCCTTTTCCTCTGTAACTGAGAGGCCTTAAGATTCTTTGACTCAGTTCTCCCTCTACTGATAAAATTCTCATGCTTAAATGTTTGTATTCTTTAAGAATTCCACACACACACACACACACACACACACACACACACACTTTAATTGTATCTTCCCCTTGCTCTTCCTCTTCTTACTTCTGGACTCCTTTTCCCATACAATCCCTCCCCAACTTCCTGTCCTCTTCTTATGTGTCCACCAATTTCTTTATTTTATAACCCACGGAATACAGCAGTGCTGTGCATATGGGCATGAAAGGATCACCCACTTGAGCCTAGAAAACCAACCAGGTCTACATCCTTGAAGAAAACTGACTTTCCTGTTTCTAGCCATCATCGACTGCCAATGGCTTCTCAGTTAAGCATGGGAACCCCTCATTAGCCTCTCCCCTGTCCATACTGTTATATTGACTAGGTAGATCTTTGCAAATCTTATCCAGGCAGCCAAAGCTGCTGTGAGTTCAAGAGCACTGTTGCCTCATGATGTCCAGTAGGTACTAGATATCAGCAGTCTTCTCTGTCCTCTGGCTGTTAGAATGCTTCTGTTCTCTCCTCCATGATGCTCCCTGAGCTCTGTGTGCGCTCTCTCTCTCTCTCTCTCTCTCTCTCTCTCTCTCTCTCTCTCTCTCTCTCTCTCTCTGTGTGTGTGAGATATAGGTGTGAGATAGATATCCCATTTGGGGCTAAGCTCTCCACAGTAGCTTGCCCTATGCACTCGGAACAATTGTGGGTCTTCATCTTAACCTCTCTCCTCTGCAAAGGGAACCTTCTCTAATATGTTTTTCTGTTGCTCTCATGTAATGCCATGACCAAAGTAACATATAGAAGAAAGATCAGATTTCAGCTATGGTTCAAGAGGGCTTATTCCATCATGGCAGAAAAGTATGGCAGCAAGTAAGCATTGGTAGTGGAACAGCCAGCTGAGAGCTCACATCTTAAGCTATCAGCATGATGCAGAGTGAGCTGGAAGGAGATTCTCTGATAGATGAACTAACAATCACTTGCAAAGGAACTAACAAAAGTGCACACATTCTGGATTGTACTTTGTAAAACCTAGAATTAAGATAAAAGGTGTCAGCTCCTTGTTGGATGCCTTTTGCCTGGGTTTCTAGGGACAGCTGGACTCTGCTGTTCCTCTGGGGGGGGGTGTTCTGTATCCACCTAATGTGTATCCTTATTAGAAATCATGTCTCAGCTTTCAAATCTTCCTAATCCCCCAGCTTGCAACATTGTGCTTTCGTTGAAGGCCACAAAGCCCGTGTTACTATCTCATATGGAAATGCCTCCCCACAGATGGCCTTAACCAAGAATACATTCTTCAAATAAGACTTCCTATTCTCAATCTGTAGATTACATTTAGGCGGAAAAAACACTACTTTATCAAAGATACTAGTATTTGTCTCGCTATCTGGGTTCTCTTCAGGGAAGGGCTGGCTTTGAGATAGTGATAGCTTCAGATTGTCTGATGTAGAAAAGAGTCTGAGGCTGCTGTTGCTCTCTTGTTCACTTTCCTCTTCTGGTCCCTTCAGAATAAGATCATCCTGGACCCCATGACATTCAGCGAGGCCAGGTTCCGTCCATCGCTGGAGGAGAGACTGGAGAGCATCATCAGTGGGGCTGCCCTCATGGCAGACTCCTCCTGCACGCGGGATGACCGTCGTGAGCGCATTGTGGCCGAGTGCAATGCCGTGCGCCAGGCACTCCAGGACCTGCTAAGCGAGTACATGAATAACGTAAGTTCTGGGCTCCCAGCCCTTCTCTTCTTCATGGATTGTGCTCTGTGCTCTTGCGATGAAATCAGGCCTAGCAGGGAATGAGGACAGGTGTTTTGGAGCAGAGTAAGTTTTCGCCAAAGGACTGCTATGGGGTAGCCTGTGCTATGATTCTGGTTCCAAGTGCTTGTTCAAGATGGGTCATTGAATGGAGTGTAAAAAAAAAATCTCAGGAACTCTGTTGTTTACTTGAGTGGTGTCGTCTTGGTCATTTCAACGGTTGCAGTTTGATTTAAGTAGGATTTCTTGGTGAAGGTGGTTGATTGATGGAAACAGGAGGCTGTGCCAACTGGCCCTTTACAAAGTATATTTTCAAAGCTAGGAATAGCAATAGATGCTGGTCTTCAGCCCTGAAAGGCATTAATAAGCACAGCAAGTTTTAAAGTGTTCGTGCTGATCCAACAAAGTGGAAAAGTTCTAATTATCCACAAACTAGGAGGAAATTAATAGACCCATTCTACAAGGAGGAATATTCTTAGGAGTGAATTTTCAAATACATGTGACTGGAGTCTCACTGTTGATGGCACAGACAACAACCATTCTCTCCACTTCTTATAAATTATAAGTGTGAGTGTGTGTGTGTGTGTCTGTGTGTGTACCTTAGGTGATTGAATCCACATTCTTTGCTTTGAAAGGCAATAATTACAGTTATGTGCAATTGCTGCCCTGCTTTTAGTAAATGCCCAGTGTTTGTATTTATGAGTGGTCAGTTTCCCCCTGGGAGGAGTCTTGTCTTTCAGATGATCAAGTACAAGTTTCAAATGCTGTCAGTCACTTCAGGGCTTGGCAGATACTGTGTTATCCGAATGGCCTCCGAATGGTACTGAGGTATGCTATCAGGGATGCTGACAAGTCTGCTGCCATCTTTGTAATTATGACACTCCCAGGAAATGCTAAGACAGAGTTCCACCCCTCCAGTACCCAGTGACTCCCATCTTTCTAGTTAACTCTTAAGCTTGGTAAATCAGCATTATAAGCTTCAAGCAAGGAGTCAGCATTGACAGTAACAGTCTTTTTCCTGTCATTTGAAAGTAAGTAGAACTATAGTAGGGCCAGCCCTGCAACTAAATGCCAGATTTCTTTCCTGGGCCAATGAGATGACTCAACAGTTAAAGGCGCTTGCAGCCAAGCCTAAAGACAAGAATTGAGTCTCCAGGATCCAAATGGTGGGTAGAAAGAACTACTTCTGAAATCTGTCCTCTGATGGCCACACATGTATGTGTGCCATGCCCTAATAAATGAAAAAAAAAATAAAACAAAACAGAGCACTTTCCTTTTCAGAAAACTTCAGATGATTTGAGTTTTGGAAGATTTGCCTATTTTACATAAATAATAAAGTTTGTATATCTGCTGTGGCACCTAGGCATTTGTAAGGACTCATGCTATAAGACCCTTCAGGGCCAGGACATGCTGTCTGTGGTTTGGCTATATGGATGTTCTGTAGAGTACAGCTAGAGATAGATGCTGCTGGCCTGGGGCTCTCCCACTCTGAGGAAATCTTTTGCATAGCAGATTTGTAGAATAGAGATGCTCACAGGATCTGGAATTCTACTTGCTGTTGCTTTTAACAGAACGACATGGGGCTAAGGACATGTCTGCGGAATTCAGCTTTATATTGCAGAACACTAGGATTCCCATCAATGAACAATTATCACCAAAGAAGGTCGCAGGAGTTACAAAAACAGCAATGGTTATAGTGTTATTATAAACATATCAGTCTAAAATGTGTTCCCACTAATAGAAGCTGTAGCCTATGACAAAAGACCAGGCAATCAAGATGTGATATGTGATTTTCATGAATTGTCTACAGCACTATTGAGTTAGGTGGATTATTATTTGTGTGTGTGTGTGTGTGTGTGTGTGTGTGTGTGTGTGTGTGTGTGTTAGTGTGAGCTCTTATGGACCAGCAGAGTTTGGTGCATTTTGGGTTTTATTAAACTGCAGTCTCTTGTAGTTTGGTCAAAATCTTGTGATACAGAAATGGTTTGTTCTTTCTTTAAAATATTGGCTTCTAATATAGTTGCAGAATACATGGAAGGTTGTCACATTCAAATTTCCAAGTGTCCAAGTCTTATTCCCATCAAAACCTGAAACAAACCCTATCCCATTTGAGTTCTTACTGAAACTGTGAGCTGCTCTGTTGAACTTCACACTGGTGATTCCGGGGTGGAGCTTGATGCAGTCCAAATGCCACCATTGCTCCCATGAAGCACTTTGATTTCTACTTCTACAAAACAGTATGTTCATTTTTGATATGGCATATATTAATGTAAAGAGAACGTTGCATCAATGCTTGTGCTATCAGTGTGGTGGTAAAAACTGACTCAGCCCATCATTCCTAGCCAGATATGTATGCATTTTTCCAATCTGTAACTTCTGTAAATATATCAATCATCACATGCATACTTTTGTGTTAATATGTTAGTGACATTAAGATGACAAAACCATGAACCCACATAATTAGAGACTGAAATCTTGATGAAACAGCCATTTCTGGGTTCCAAAAATATCCTGATTAGTCCCAGATGAAGATTCAACTTTAATACCCCGTTGGCATCCAAAGTAACCCTAAGATACTGGACTTACCAAGTGGTGTGGAATGTGGATGGAGATTACAGAGGGCTTCAGGGAACTAACTGATAGAAGGCAGTCAGTCTTCCTGGGGCATGGGTTGTGTTTTGCTCACTTGGGTTATGTGGAGCTCAGAGGGAGCTCATTTTTTGCTAGAGGTTTCTAAAAATGTATGTGATTTGATGAATTTGTACATGGAGGATTTGAAAATGTAGTTATGCACTTTAAAAAGGAACTAGTAAGATAAAAGCCTGTGTATGAAGACACCAGAGATAAAAGCTGGGATCTTAGGTCAGATAGCACTGGGAAAGGAGCTCATAGTAGTCCTGGAGAAGTCTTCAGTAGCAAGGCTTTATGTTGTACTACTAGGCTTCATAAACATCCATGAGTAAAACTTTTCTTTTGCACTGTCTATTAAAAGAACAGTTAAAGTCCTTTATAGTATACATGTTGGGTCTAATGGGTAGAGGTCCTTTTCAAAAAGATGCATGGTCTGAACATGTAAATTGGGATTGGTGCAGCCCATGTAAGTGTTGCAGCATAAAAGGTTCCAAATTGTAAGGGTCCAATAACTGTCCACTGGAAGCCATTTTCTACATCTCAGTTTGGGAGCATTAAATTGTCTTCATTAAAAAAATACAAGAGTAATTTTCAAGTATCTATTAAGGTTGGCTTATCTGTGAGGGAATAGGGGAGCTTCATGATAGGGTATGAGGTGGCATGATATTTTACAGATAAGAATTTTATAATGGATTGAAATTTACATTCATTCAAAAAATGTACAAAATTATTCTTTGGTGACAGGCATCACATTAGGGTCTCAGGAGTGAACAGAGCCAACTCCTCTGCTGCCACAGGGTTTGCTTCCAAAGGGAGATGGTGGGCAACCATCATGTCTGCTCTGGGAAAGACCTATTTCATAGAGTGATAAGCCCAAAGTCAAAACAGAAAACCCCAAGAGAGAGGAGGGAGGGAGAGAATGGAGAATACAGGGACATGAAAGGATGTCAAAAGATCGTCTGGAGGAGACAAAGAGCGTATTAGGGTGGAGAAGCAGTAATGCCAAGGGCTTTGCTCATGAGCAAGTATGTGGTACACCAAGACATCCGTCTGCACCTGTCTGCACAGGTTCTTGTCCCTCATCACACAAGATATATCTGCCATGCTAATGGGAACAGAGGACATCTGAGAATAGAGAGCGCCTTGATTCAGGCATCAAGAACAGGCTGTAGGAATAAGATGGGAGAAAGTTCAAGAAAACCTGTGTTCTGAAATAATCCTGTTAGCATGGTCTCCTTAGACATATGACCACAGTAGAAGTAAAGTATCCACATTCTGACTGTGACTTTAATAAAAAAAAATCATATAATGTTATTGAGAAGAATATGTCTGCTGTATAAATGTAAAAAAGACATCGGACATCCCGAATAACATTTATAGACATGTCAGAAATCCTCATTTGATTTAAATTGCACAGAAAATTTTGATTTACTCCAATGTGGTAGCAATTTGTAAATAGCTCACTTGGCAGTGCCTGTATAAGTTGCTAGACAAATTGTGTTTGAATGGGTAGTTAAGTAGAAAAATTGTGTTTCAAAATTCTGTCACCAAAATGCCTAAGTATGCTTCTCTCTCTCTTATAAAAGACTGAGGAATAGACTATGCATCCTAAGTACTAAACTACAATTCAGAATCATAAGAAAACTTTAATCCTTACCCTAGGTACTAAAACGATACTGAGTGGCAGTGAGCTGTTTTCTTCTTCAGGCACAGTTCATTGATGGGCCTTGGTGAGGAAACGGACTGTGATTGCCTGGACCATGCATGCTGTGCGACCTGGTTCAATTCTATAGCCATACGCTCTCTGTACAGCCATACATACTTTATTCCTTATGTGTACGTGTGCGTATCTGTATGTGTGTATGTGCACATGGGTGCAGATGCCAGAGGAAAGCTGGCACTGTGGTTGGCTGTGAGCCACCCACAGCGAGTGCTGAGAAGTGAAGTAGGATCTGCCAGTGCAGCAAGCGCTGTTATCCTGCAAGCCATCTCTCCAGCCACTCTCTAGGTTTTTTAATTAATGAACTGTTTTTTTTTTTTTCTGGGGTTTTTGGTACGGGGTTAAAGAGATGACTCAGTGGGTAAAGTGCTTGTTGTGCAAGCATTGGGACCTAAGTTCTATCCTCGGTACTCATGTACAAATCAGGTATGCCAATATGTGCCTATTACCCTTCCACAGGGGACAAAACCAGGGGGATCCTGAGAAATCACTACTGCTTAATTTATCCAAACTAGAGGGAGACATTCTACATTCAGCTGCTGACCTCCACGCCATGCCTGCCAACACACCGTAGTGCACACATACACACACCCATACACACACACACACA